AATATTTTCATTAATACCAGGTCTTTTTCCATTGGTGAGTAAAATATGTCTATGCTGTTTAAGAGACAGAATCTCCAGGACCCAACACTGAGCAAATACCTCTTATGGATACTGAAATCCAAAGTAAGTTAATGAAGGATGTGTTTGAATAAGAAATCTTTGCTGTTTATGACTGTAAGCAGCCCTCAGATACAGTCAGGATCATTTTTGAAACACCTAACACAGTAATGTATGGTGCCCTGTGAAAGTTTTTATACCATTTTACAGCCTTCACATTGTTTTAAAACTTGCAGATTAGAATTATTATTTGAAGTAGTAAATTATACTTTTCTAAATTTGCATTAATTTAAGTTTTTTATGCTTTGAAGTAGCAATTATTTTTTAGATATCAACCTACTTCATACATTCCTAATATATAATATTTAATATGAAAAAAAATGGAAAGTTTCTGATTACATAAGCATTGAAAAGCTCAACTGTGCCAAACCTAAATTAATTTAATGCACACAATTACGTTAACAAGACACACAATTAGCTGACTCAGTAGTAATTTACTCAAAAAGACTTGCCGCTGTAATTGCTCCCAAAGGTGCTCCCACCAAATACTGGTCTCAATACTTATGTAATCAAAATGTTTCATTTTTTTCTTTCCAATTTAGTGACATTTACTGCAACTTATCTCACCCTTAAAAGTCTCCAGTTCAAGAATTTAGGTTTTTAATAAAATATGAAGCTTGTTTTTAAAAATCCACATGCATAATTTGGGAATTTTATCTAACTGCTTTATTCAGTACAGGGTTGTGAGGGGGCAGGAGCCTTTCCCAGCAAGCAATGGGTGGAGGCCAGTCCATCACAGACACGGGTACGCCCCCAGGATCGTTTTTTCCAGGATTCACTTAACCTACCAATAAGTCTTTGGTCTGTGGGAAGAAACCGGAACAAATGGACATGTGAACAGGGTAGAACATGCAAACTCCACACAGACAGTACCCCAGGAGTTGAACTTGGGGCCTCCGATTCTGCAAGGCTGCCATGCTAACCACTGCAACTAGAATTCGTTATTACTGTAGCTTATTCATGTACAACAAATATGTGTCTCCCGCAAGCCAGTTGTGACAGTCACCCACAAAGGTTCATTCAACATTCTGTCACATGAGCTACACATCTGTAGATACTCATTTGCTGTGTGAAAATGTTACCTTTGCCCTTGACCACTAGATACCTTACAGTAGGGAACCAGCTCCATCACTGTGGGAATTTGAGGACTGCTGTGACTACGATATGTTCAGATCGTCCTTATTTTGATCAAGTTCAGATTTTTTTTTATCATTAGGTGGGCAGAGAATTGAGTGAGAATTCAGGTCTAATGGTGTACAGATGGGGGGTTAATGTACAGCCAGAGTTAATGTGACATCAAGATTATTTTCTTTTTTTTTGCAGGAATTAAAACATTTATATAACATCCAACAAAAATAATTTCAGCTTCCATATGGTAGATACGTGCTGAATACAGTTTCTGCTCTGTTAATAATACCTTCATACCCACTTACATACCACGGGGTTCATTCTTATAAAAATATATTTTTTAAGTTTTAAAAGGAATAAAGGAAACCTCCAGTTTAAAAAATAACCAGTTTATAAATGACTTGAAAAAAAATGGTTGACGATGTTACAGTGTGATGGATTGAGCTATAAAGCTATGACTATAGAAGAGTTTGCCATCTGTTTAGTCATTAAAATAATGAACTGTTTTTGCCCAAATGGCATGCCTAAATAGTGCATAAAAGGCATTTAGTTTTTTTTGTGAGTATATGTTTTATCCTAGAGCAAAGATTTGGAGCTTTACTGAATGGACACTTTAAATATCGTTGGCTCTTGTAGAGTCACAAAACATCAAGCATTCTGCCTATAGGGCTAAATTGTGTTTGCTACAGCAAGCTGCATACTGCTCAGTGTATCCTGAATATTCATACAAGACAAAAATGACATATCAAAACCCACAGAATTCAGTCACTTGCTAGCAATATGTCAGCGACGTGTTAAAAGTTAAACATATTTGATTGTAACAACTAGGAAATCTTGTAGTTTAGCAGTTTGATGCTATAAATCCTCTTGGGGTTGAGAAGAAAACCTTTTAAGAAAACTTTGCTGAGCAAAAGAAATGCCTGGAAACTGGCAAAGGCATCACGAAAAGAAATTTCAGTGAGGCTTTGCAGTCCTCTGGGAAAGAGGCATCTGAAAACCCTAGCTGAAAGGTACGAGCATTAGCTTTCGATGGAGAGAAAGGAACTCACCTTTGATTTATCAACACTATCCTTGGAATCGTAAGAAAGAGATAAGCCACAGCTCAGGATCAGATAAAGTTACTGAATGGATAAAGAACAGAAGATTAAGCACAAGGCAAAATGAAAGGCTGGTGCAAATCAGAACAAGGGGAAAAATATCCCTTTGGATACCTCGGATGTTTTGTAGAGATCATAATTCAGACTAAACACTGGAGGACCTCACTACGCAAAAAGCAAAGATATGCAAGAATGTAGAATGGTTAAAAAACACTTCTATACTTGTCTCTTCAACCATCATCCCTTACTAATATTTCTTTGCATCAGGATATATCGACCAGCCCGAGCTATGATGTAGCTCAATCAAATAGTAGTTAGAGAGTGAATTGGGCCAGCTCCTTTACTTTTGTTCAAAGGCAGTGAGAAATCCATCCTAGGATTAGCTTAAGCCGCAACGAAGCACGCAAGCTAACAAAAGACAAAAGGTGGTGACAGCTCAAAATATGCAACACATTTCCTTTCTTGATTAATTCGACAAGAGACGGAATTCAAGACAATACTGCAGATTAGGTCTGTTATTATTTTAATTAATGTTACCTTCTCTTCATAAAACCAAATTACAATTCAAATGAAAAAGGAATGGTTTTCTAATATTTTCCACAATTCCAATTGTGCTTTTATTCCATTACTGAAATTGAATAAAATGTACCTGTGTGGCTGAAATTGTTTGTTGACTATTGTACGTTTGTGCACTGTGACTGCCTGAGAGCATAAACTAAGAGGAAGCACACATGCTGTGAGTTCCATTTTTGTAACTTGATATCTGCTAATGTTTGTGTGACCGTTTTCAATTAAGGTAGCAATTCCCATGTCGATTGTGAAGGGAGGATAAACACGACCAGGGTGCTGGACAGAGAGATGAAAATCCTGAAGGCCTTCCATTAAACCACACTTCCTTTGCCAGCTTTCGTATTTTGTTACCAGCTTTTTTAGTTTTCTTATGTGATTTTATTTAAGCATCTCTGCCTTTGCATTGAGTTCACCTGTACACTGCTGGTTCAGTCTGCATTTTCTCCTAGCAATTTTGACTTACTGTATGTTCAGATGCATTTTAATGAGCATTTCTACTCATTTCTTGGCATTTAAATATTTTGTTTAAAATTTGAATTTTTTTTCAGTTTTTTTTTTTTTTAATTTTACACATCAGGACCTGCTGTTTTTTTTTTTTAATTGCAGCTGAATTTTTGTAACCCAGACATCTGGGATCCTTTCACACAACCATTAACATTGGCAAATGCAGGGCATGAGGGACTTGTTTGACAATGAATTTGTAAAGAAAAAACAAAATATTTTAATATACAAAATATAATTAATTAGCTTAAATATGAGCTACACGGTAGACAGAATGGATAGCTTTAAAACAGTACTGGATATGTTTTCCTAATTCCTGAAAATATTTTTTAAACTACATAAAACTTATAATTAAACTATTTCATGTACTGTAGTACCTACAGGAAAAGACCTCAGTCGAGTGTAATATTTTAATTGGCAGTTTTTAATGTAATGGTGGCGATCCATTGATGTTTACCAGCAACACCGCTGCATTGGGGAGAGGGATTAGTAATTAGTTTTCTTGGCAGAGGACAAACACTTACACATTTTTCAACAGTAAGAGGCAGGTTAATGAAAAGTAATAAAATTAAATGGTTTTTAACTGAAACAGCTGCTCTTAGATTTGCACCCTTTTCCTTTACAAAATACATTTTAAGTAAAACAAATGTGAATAACATAACGAGACAACATGGGTAAAAATTACAGGAAATGCATTCAAAACTAGGAACTGAGAAAAAAACACCTTTTTACACAAAGGATTGTGGGAGTCTGACGAAATCCTAAGATTAATTAGCTTCTAAATAATGAATAAGCTAGACAGACCAAATGGCCTACTCGTGTTTGTAACCATTTTTATCTTTTCAGATACTGAATATTTCTATGGATATTTGTTTTCTACAGTATATTCCCATGAAATCCAGCTGATTTCAGATTTTAGTTTTGAAACTTTTCAGAAGTACATGCTTTATTGAGTGGAAAAGCACAATATATTTTTAACACTGGAGGCTGTTCATAATGGTCACAGCTTCCTGTTGGACAAATAATTCGAATGAAATAAACCACGTATGAAAATAGCTGTGCCTTGTGTTATATTGCTACAAAATAATTTGAGCTTAAAAATAATCATTAGAATGAATTTTGTAGAGGCATCTAATAGCACAGAAATAATTTATACACAATACATTACTTTCGCGGATTCATTCAACAAATTAAAAATGGACATCATCATCACCCTGATATAGTATTTTGGATTTTCGACTTAGAATGTAAACATAAGCATTGATACCTCGTATGAAGAGTGGTATTTTTCCTATATGTTAAATAGGGGGATTATTTATACATGTAGATTTTAAATCTTAAAACTAGTGTTAAAAAATTTTAAAAATAAAGGCAATGAAGGTTCAAGCTCATGCTGTATGCTAGCTGAAATCCAAATAATACACTTAGGAAAACTATTATTTTAATTGAACTTCCACCTTGAAATGCGGAAGAAAATCAGCACAACTCACAAAAATCAGCTGTCTGTGTTTTTTCAGCTCTCCATGCTGAACAATACTTTTCAGGAAAGCGTAACATCAATGGCATTATACAAATGACAGACAAAAGTTTGATTTTAAAATATATTATTGATACAATTTGTTCAGAAACAGTCATAATCTTCTGGACAAGTCAAGACTTAATGAAACTCCAATTTAACAAAGCCAGTCAACTCAAAGCTTCATTTTAAACTTACATAAAGAAAATGGAGCTTTGAATAGAAACCAGCAGCATTGTAAAAAAATCATAATTCACTTCTAAAGTCGTGGGTATCCTTGAATTAAACAGAAAACATGGTGCTTTTCCCTGCTGATGAGGAATTTATCTCTTGTATCTTTAAAGCAACCAGCCGGTCTATACATTATGAGCAAATAATGCATTATTTAGCTTCAGCTGTTCAAACTCCTCTCCTCTTCTAACAGCGTTCATAGTAAAGGTATTTGGGTACAAAAATGACAATGACGGTTAAGTAGAAAATGAGATGCTAATAAAATCTCTGGCTGCTGCAGTCTCTGGCCATTCTTGACTGTTCTTGAACAGATGTTTTCTTCGTTAATGATAAATAATATTGAAAGCAAAGCGGAGGCCTTCTTCTCCTGAAGGTGGTGGTTAACCTCCCTTTCTCAACTGGCTCTGGAAAAAAAAACAAAGCAATTCAATGTTCCTGGAAAGAGCAGTTACAGATTCTACACACATGCATTTCCACATCGATATTAATTTGATACAGGCTATTGCATTTGATACTTGGGAATAAAATACCTATAATGCCATCCATCTTAATGGGAATATTGTATAAAGGAAAATGGAAATTAGTTTGCAGTTCTTGTTTCCAAGAACAATTTAACTATCATCGACCTTTTGATTTTTCTAGCTTACTATTAAATTTATCCGAGTCAATGATTCTAAAGGTGTACACAACCTGGATACATTTAATTTATGGACTCAAGTAAACAACACATTTCTGAGACAGAGAGTATTATGTGTCATTTTATTTTAAACTGATACAGACATAGGATTCTGAAACTATGTGGAAAGAATCTGAGAAAAAAAAGATTGAAATATTTTTTTAAATATTTCTAGCCCCAAGTCATATTTATCAGACATTTCAGAGGGCCCCACTCCTCTAACTTTGCACTAACCTGGGATCTCATTTCAACTGCCCCAGGTTCTGTGCCAGGTTTTAATGTTCTTTGAAGAAGTGCCTAGGAGTTATATTGAACTTTCAGTGAATCCGATTAGATTTTTTTATTTGGTTATTTTTATTATTTTATCAGTGATTCAAAAAACGCTAACAGAATAAAAAATACAGTAAGAAAAATTTATGCGGACAGTCACATATTAGTTGCCGACAGAATAATAAAATGATTCTAACACAGAGCCTCGCTGGATTCCTCCATAATCAAGTTAAATGATATAACAGGGTCACTCAGACGTCAAAACAGATCAGATTATATATGATTAATCAGATTTTAAAGAAATTATGCTTCTCATACTGATATCCTGGAACTGGTGGAGAGGCGAACTGCATGCTGAAAAGTATAAAGAAGAAAAACATTTGAACTGTGCAACCTTCTTCAGGTGTGCAGAAGAATAAGGGAGAGAACAGGAATACAAAGTTGTTTTTCTTTTCTCCTCCTTATCCTCCTCTTCCTGCTTTCCCTCACTCCTGAAGAAGGTTATACAGTTGAAACATTTTCTACCTTTTCACATGGAATAAACCTCTTCTTTCGTTTGCTGCCTTCACACTCACATTGTCCCCTACTCAAACCTCATTGTATGTACAGTAATATGTCTGTTTCAGTCAGGGATCCAGAATTCCCAGTTCTGAGTTGTGTTTTGTTTCCTAGTGTGTTTTATCCTGGACCTGTGGTTTTTCATTACATACACCACCACCAGGGAATAACCTATATAAACAGTGTTTGTTTTTTGGGTAGTAGTAGAAAAATTCAGCTTCTTACATGGTCTTAAATCCGTTTTAGTACTTTCGCTTCTTTTTAATAAAAAGGTCAGTTGGTACGCTCACTAAGACTGCTGTGCTTTATGACATAAAGTAAGATTCAATCTCAGATAAGAAAATGGTAACAAATGACTGTTACTGTCAACTGGAAAGTAGCAAAGAAAGACTGAAAAAGATGAAAAACATTGCATCAGGGATGTAAAAAAAACAGATGGATCAGAAATAAAAGGCTTGACGAAAGGATGTACAATGGATAAAATACAGTAGTAGGAGTATTTTTTAATATTTTTATCAATTAAAAGAAGGATGGAATACCTGCAAGAAATGAAACGTAATCTTCAGATTCCTAGAGAAGGCTGGCAATGCTTTACCAGCACCCTTATCAATCTAAGTGCACACTAAGTAATTTGTGAATCACAAGTACACTGCCTTACTACAGCATCTGCACATGGACCAACAGTGGAAGCACCACACAGTTGCCCTTTTCAATGGCAAAACCAATGGGAAAAACTCATGGCTTCAAACCTGGCACAACTTCATAAATACTAATCAATCATGCTAACTATGAAGTGTGGTTCACAAATGGAGATTGTTTGGGTTTAACTTGATGCTGAAAGGCCCAGCGTCTTAATGAATCCAAATGGGATTACCAGATTGAAAACGCCAAACATCTACCATAATAGTTGCTTCTTAGTTATTAGGGTGATGGGAGTCATAAAGTAGAAAAAGTAGTAATCTAAAAAAAGCAACCTTATAATAATCTCAAAAAAGATGGAGAAATATAAAAGGAAGCCATTACCAAGGCAAAACAGTAGCAAATACAATGGGTATAGAAAGTCACCACATCCTTTCAAAATTTGTACCTTTTGTTGTATGACACTCTGAAAATAAAAACAAATTAAATTAGGCTTGTTCCATTTTTATTTACACATAGTAACCTACATTAGCCAAGTGAAAATACAAATGTAAAACATTCTGAAAATTAATTAATATTACAATAGTAAAATACCTTATTTGGATAAGTGAACACCCCCCCCTTACAATTGTATTTGTAAACTTGCTCAGTTATAATCACCTTACAGATCACACAACAAACTAATCGGCTCCCATCTGTGATCAATTGTGGTGATTTTGATTAGTTCAGAATAAAAGCAGCTTTTTCTAGAGGATCCCACGGCTTGGAAGTGCATTTCAAAGCAAAGAATCCACTATGGGCAGAAAGGTGCTTTCAAAAGAACTTTGAGATGAAGTTGTGGAAAGGCACAAGTCAGGAGATGGGTATAAAAAGATTTCCAAGGTTTTACATATCCCATGGAGCACAGTCAAGACCATCATTAAGAAGTGGAAGGTGAATGGCACCATCCAGACTTTGCCTAGATCAGGCCATACTTCCAAACTGGATGACTGAGCAAGTAGGAGACTGATCAGAGGGGATACCAAGAGTTTGAACTTTGAACGAGCTACAGGCCTTTATGGCAAAGGCTGGTCATTGTGTGCATGTGACAACAATATCACAAGCGCTCCACAGATCTGGCCTGTATGGGAGGCTGGCGAGAAAAAAAGCCACTTCTTAAAAAAAGCCACATCAAGTCTCGTTTATGTTTTGCTAAAAGCACCAAGTGGCAAAAGGTGCTGTGGTCAGATGAGGCCAAAATCAAACTTTTTGGCCAGAACGTAAAACAGTAAGTCTGCCAAAAACCCAATACATCTTACCACCCAAAGAACACCATTCCTACAGTAAAGCACGATGGTGGCAGCATCCTGTTGTGGGGGTGTTTCTCTTCAGCTGGGACTGGGGCACTTGTCAGGATAGAAGGGAAGATGGATGGTACAAACTACAGGCAAATTCTTGAAGAAAACCTGTAGCCCTCAGCCAGGAAGTTGAAAGTGGGAAGAGGGTTCACCTTTCAACATGACAATGACCCAAAGCACACCGCCAAAGCAACTGTACAGTGGCTGAAGGACAGGAAGGTGAATGTCCTGGAGTGGCCTAGTCAGAGCCCTGACCTAAATCCCATTGAAAATCTTTGGAATGACTTGAAGAGGGCAGTCCATCAACGGTCACCACGCAGTTTGACTGAGCTCGAACAATTCTGTAAGAAGGAATGGGCAAATATTCCTTCGTCTAGGTGTGCAAAGTTGGTAGAGATGTATCCAAACAGACTCAAGGCTGTAATTCAAGCAAAAGGTGCTTTCACCAAGAATTGACTCAGGGGGTGTCCTCTTATCCAACCCAGTTATTCTACTTGTTTATTTTTACTTTTTTTCAGAATTTTTGCTTTCTTTTTTCACTTGGATGTTGCAAGATACAATTTGTAAATAAAACTGGAAAAAGTCTGATTTTATTTGTAAAAGTTGAACATTTTGAAAGATGGTGGTGACTTTCTGTAGGAACTGTAAGTAAATAGAGTGCAGCAACTGAAAATGAAAAAAAAAACAGTAGTTGGCAGTGGTAAAATTGATTATAAATGCCAAGTCAGTCAATTTTGACAAAAAATGTTTTTAGAATCACCAATTCTGAATGGCACAATTAATGCGCTAATGTTGCACAACTTTCTTAAGTATGAACTTTATAAAGCTTTTTGCAGACACTTTTTAATTAACTACATAATCATCTGTATAACACTTTAGAGCTGTAGGTCTACAAATCATTGAATGAAATAAAGAGCACTCAGGTCCAAATGTTATCTACATGCAAGGATAACGAAAGTCATAATTATCATTACAATAAAATCCTTGACCTATAGCAGAGTTCTGCCCTACTATCTCATTCACTATGCAGAATTACATGTTAATATGCTATCAAGTACTCTTTATTTCTTAATTCCAGGAACATTAGAACACAGATCATTTACATTCATTTTGGTTGCATTTACAGCTACTAGTATAAGGAAGTATCTTTAATGACTATAAAGCCTTTACATGCTAATGACTGACAACCATTATTTTCAATACGTATCTTAGAAAGCGAAAATACTACATTCAGAGTGAATGTCAAATACTCTCTAAAAAAACACAAACAATATACAGTGCCTTGCAGAAGTATTTCCACCCTTCCTATTGAGTCCCTTTTTGAAACTACTAAATAATACATACAATTTTAAAACTTAATATTTTATTAAAATGAATACTTAAAATAAAGACTTCTAAGGGTAAGATACGTTACTGTAAATGGCTGAAAAAAAACAAATATGTTGATTGCATAAGTTATCAGACCCATGAATATTTGTGAATATTTTGGTGGAAGCACCTATAGCAGCTATTATAGGCATACGTCTTTTGTTTAAGTGTCCTCCAACACCAGGTACAATTTTTGCCTTTTCTTCAAGGCAAATTTTCACTGGTTTCTTCAAGATAGTTTATGACTGCAGTTTTCATGTTTTTCCACAGATTCTCAATAGGATTCAAGTATTTGAATGGGTCACTCATGGACATTCACTTTCTTATTCTTAAGCCATTCTGGTATAGCTTTGGCAAGACTTTCCTTTAGGATCTGCCAGTAATTTGCTCAATCCATGTTCCCATCTGTCTTGACAAGCTTTTAATTCTCTGTGGATGATTTTTTTTTCAGTTCCCTACAAGACCCTTTTATGGAGTGACTGGGATATTGTTGACCCATGGATATTTTCTCCCATCTCAGTTGCTGAACTCTGTAACTCTTTCAAAATTGCCTTTGGCCTCATGGTGGCATCCCTAACCAGTTTGGCTGCTCGGTTTGGAGGGACAGCCTGATCTAGGCAGTGTCTGGATGCCTTACACATCGTAATGATCAATGTCACCATGTTCAAAGTAATATTAAAGTAATATTAAGGGTCTTTGAAATGTTCGATATCCTTCTTCTTATTTGTACCTTTATAACAGTTCCATCCCTTTGTTGTTCTGAAAGCTCTGTGCTCTTCATGGTTGAAATTTCAGTACATAACCTTAAAGTAATAGGTGTATTTATTCTGAAATCACAGACAATTGGAGACAGAGTCCACACAAATGACTATTGAGTATTTCGCTTTCAATGTGTGACGTAGATTTGTAATCTAACCAATCTTAATTGCTACTTCAAAGTACAGTATAAAACCATGGATTTTATTTATTTGAAATTTGCAAAGTATAGTATAAATTATTGGCTAACTCAAATATTAAAGCTAGACTGCAAGCGTTAGAGCAGTGGTTCTCAAACTTTTTGGACCAAGTACCACCCCTAATCTAACCAAAGCGTCCAAGTACCACCTACAAGTCATCTTCTCATATGAACCCCAGAAATTCTCAATGACCAACATGAGCTCGCACACTCACACTCACACATACATATAATTAATATTATAATAATAAACTTAATTTGATATAGCACCTTTAAAAGTGGCTTCTCAAAGTGTTTTACAGAAAAAAAACATTAACAACAACTCATAAAAAAGCACCATTTCAGTGAGAGGGGTGAGCCTGTTTAGTTGAGCAAAGCAGATGTGAATTAATTTTTCGAGCCTTGATACAATTCACAACAGAGTCTAACAGATATTAAATCGTCAGGCATTTTCTTGACGGCAAAGATCTCGCGGTGGATGTTGTAATGCGTACATTAATTTCTGGAGTAACCAATCTAATTCGTGCAACTACACTGTTATGTCAGCTTGTCATTGCTCTAGCACCGTCTGTACAAACTCCGATGCATTTTATCCAGTCGAGGCCATTATCTTCGATAAATTCATTCAGAAGCTGAAATATGTGCTCTCCTGTGGTTCCTGTTGGTAGCGGTTTACAGAACAGAAAGTCTTCATGGGACATGCCCTCAAACTCGTATCTAACGTAAACGAGCAAACTGGCCAAATCGACTACAGACTCATCTAATTGCAGTGAAAAACATCTGCTCATCTTAATGCGCTCTATCAGTGTACTTTTGATATAATCCTTCATTTCAATAATTCTATGAATGACTGTGTCTTTCAGGGGGAGGGGGGCAGCCGGTTGAGCTGTTTAGCAGCCTTTTCTCTACACATAATACGTGTCAGCTCTTTTGCCAACGGTAAATAAGGTTCTTCAAAAATAGTGTAGCTTACCTGCTTTAGCAATCCGTAAGCTTGCATTTTTCCACGTTGCCGTTTTTATTTCCGTATTTATTTAAAGTTTTTATTTCATGCGCATGGGAGCGAAACACAGAGACGCTCGGTGTATTTTTCTCAAATTAGAACAGTTCTTAAATATTTTTCTGTTATCACGCTTTCGTGTGCTCACAAGATTACTTGCGTTCGTAGCACGTATTTCTATGCATTCCTGTATTTACAACATTAGCATTGTTCCAAAATCACGCACATTCTCCTTTCTCCCTATTTGCTGGAGATACAGTAGCTTTTTTTAAATACAATTGGTCATTTGCATCCGTAGCACGCATTCCTATAGAGTGGTATAGAATTACAGAGTATCTCTTGTGTCCACTGAACTATTAGCACGCACTGTATCGTAGTACGTAAGCTGCGTATTCGACACGTATTAAAATACAAAATATGAAAACCCGTCCCGATTTTTCAGCGCACACGACACAGTTCCAGGGTCATTTGGCGTACCACTTGGCGGCACTCCACGTACCACTGCCGGTACACGTACCACAGTTTGAGAACCACTGCGTTAGAGCAACAAATGTGAAATCCCAAACAGTACTCTTGCAAAGCACTGTAGTATCAGCTTTATTGGAAAAACCCATAAGGTGCCAAAGCAAATATCAGGATAATAATGACCTGTGATTTCACCCGATAAGTCTTACTGTAACATGGAACTACAATGTCACTAAGATTTATACATAGTTTGTTTAGTTATTTAAGTTATTTAATTGCAGAAGTATAATAAACATAACACTTTCTCATAAACAAGAGTTACAAGAAATTTCAAGACACTTTCATTAAAATTCCATTTCATTTGTTTCAGGTTTTGTTGCCATCTGTGATATTTTTTTTGCATACTGCTGTTCTCAAGATGTTTAAAAACTCAAGGAGTGAGTAAAAAGTGGCAAACTATTTTCATGACTTTAAGAGAAAATTAGGAATCCTTGCTACCAAACATACATATAATAGAGGAAATGGGCAGTTTTGCAGTCTGGGACTTGCCGTACCTGTTTAGCAGTATTGACACACTGTAGGTACAGCTGAGCCAGTGTGGAGCAGCAGAGGGTTTTGCCTGGGTTCTCTCTGTAACACTGCACGATTTGTCTCTGCAGGTCAGCACACACTGGGTTGTAGCTGTATTTCCTGCCAAAAAAAGAGAAGAAAAAAAACGCATTTACCACACATTTAGGAAGAGGATAACTTATCCTGGTGGCCCTGTACAAAAATATGACACTCACACAACACATTTACATTCCTTTAAAGTACTGTTGCTTGAAGGCAAAGGAAGATAACAAGCTCTGAAAACCTTGTTGCACTTGAGAAAGGAGTCTGAAGTATATCATTAATTGAAAGACACAGAAATGTCCTTACCTTCTTAGAAGGACACAGGGCAAAAACAAAACTAATATTTCAACATATTTGCAGTTTTACTATGAAATCTCAAACAGAGGTACAATTTTTAAAAGATAAATGAGAACTATAGAGGACGGCATGCTGAAAGTCAAAATGTCCTCATGTAAGTGCTTCGAAACCAAGAATGAATCTTATTCTTCTAACTTGCATGTTACAATGCTTTCATCTGCTAATTGTGCACTTCGCTTCCTCATTTCTACTCTACTTATGAACATCATCCATGGCACTTTCAGAAGCCCTTATCCATTCACTATTTTCAATGCCATCTAGCACACTGAAGCACAGCACTGATGGGTCTCATCTCTCTGAGTAAATGCCTTTCCTTTTTCAGAGAGAGCCTTGTCCATTTGCTGGGATTATACTTTATTTGGAATGTGAGCGGGGGCAATATTGATCACTTTCACTTGTTGTACAACCTCTCTAATGCATTCTTCCAGTTTAGTGAAAATTCCCATTGAGATTACTGCCATGCATTACATAGACATAAATTACTGGAACTCATATGCTCAGGTCTGAAGGGTTTTAAAGCGCACTTTGTTAGTATATCAACCTAAATGACTGAATCTGTAGAGTCACATCATTCAGATACATACTAGACATCCACATATATCCCATCTCTGCTTATGCAAATGAAAATATCTTGCATACAACACAATAGAGTGAACCTTTGAAGACAATAAATATAATCTATTCCATTTATTTTGAATATCAATAAATAATTTTCCCAGAATCAATTGTTTTTTATTGTTCCCCACTTGAAAAATTATGAATGCATTTCTATTCTTAGTGTTAAATCAGTGGATGTGTTTGATTTGTTCTACCGAGTAAGAAATAACTCTACATATGAAAGACATAAGAAAATGTAACACAAACCATCCTGTCACCTTCTATCTACCAAAGGGAATATAGAGTTTGCACAAATCTCCTTCTTAAAATCAAACTCTGTTTGAGGAAACTGCAGCGTGCTGTAGCGATTAAAGATCTTGGGAGTTCCCAGCTGTACTGTATATATGGGTATAAATGTTAGCTTTTCTGTATAAAAATGTCAGCCAAATTAATAACAACCAATACAAAGCTGCACCTGTGCATGTCTAACAAAAATATTATATATCCTGTAAAGCAAACATGAATCGTGCATAAAAGTAATTTTAATTTCTATTGTCACTATCTAAAAATCCTTTTAACGCAGTGGATGTGAACTCCCTTGTGCTACCCACTACCTAATCGTTTGGATGAGTGGTGCGTTTATGGTACTGGGCAGAACAAATTGTATTCAAGGTCATCATGTGAGGAAGTCATTAATACAATATTACCTCATCACCGTAAGATTACAGCTGCTAATAGCTAGGAAATTAGACTTGTCTACCATCACTGTTATTATAATGGCTTTTGTTAGCGCGTTAGTTATGTCAGGATGGAATGAGGAATTGTGTCGAGCAGCAGGGAATTCAGCCATAAATAAAGGCAGGTGTCGAAAAGCAAAGCCAAAGGCATGTATAAAACTACACTGGCTGAAGAAGTGGGTGGTCAGGGCTTCCCATAGAATTATTTATTGGCATCTGTTGTGAACACTGATTAAAGCCCAGATAAGCTTTTGTACAGCAGGTCATAGTTTTTGTTGAACCATCAAAAAACAACTTTCAGTATTCATATTCTTTACTGTGAACAAAGAATAACTTATTTCCTTTCAAGTGGTGCTTTTTTCACAGTTTTCTTTATCTTTTGGAATCTCTTGGTGAATAAATTATCATTTTTGACCATTTTAATTTCTGTGTGTTCTGTGTCTTGATGTCACAGTATAATTCTTCTAATTAATGGGTGTTCTGTGTTAGTTCAAATAGATTATGTGTGTTCTATTTAGTTGGTTCTGATTTGTTATTTGGGAATATATACTGAGCATCAAAAGTACATTTTTAGAAAAATACAGTTTGGAATAATGATTAAATGTTTCTGATGCCATGATTAATTGATCATTCATGACTGAACATGTTTCATTTGCATGACTGTTGCATAGGCACAAAATCACTCATTTGGGAGTTCCGATTAGGCAGGAGCCGATGAAGTGATTTAACCTGTTGATCGTCAAGCTTGGTGAAAAATCGAGTAAAAAAACTAGTGAGGAACACCCATGCCTTGCTTACATTGAGGAGAATGATTTCATGAAATTGGTATTTGCAGACTATATTAAGTTAATATACTGAAGCTCACAGGTTGGGGTGTTCCCAACATTACAACCAAATGTACACTGTTAACAATAGGGCACAATCTAGGAGTCCTGACAGAGGACTGAGAGTCCCGTCTCTCCCAGAATGACACCTCATGGATACTCCACTCTTCAGACTTTAGCTTTGCTGAACATTTATTGGATGAAGTGGTACAACGTGTGACCAGATAGGCCAGTGAAAAAAACATACTGTTTATGAGTATGATTATTATTAATAACCAACATTAATTTACTTATGTGCATTTAATACACATATAATAAAATGTCAGGGCATCTGCTACAAAAATATAACCTTCACGACCTTCAGAATTACTTTGAGAATTTATTGCTGTTATAAGTGTGTTTTTTTAATGCTAAGCAGAGTAATATGCAGTTTACTCAATAAAAAACCAACATGTCCCACTAGTCAAAACGTATTTGTCATACAGCAATAACTATGCCAATGTTTTGCTGTTGGACAGCAACGAAAAGCAAGAGTTTGAGATAACATGCAAGGCTAGTTTACCTGTCAGATTTATCCATATAATTGACATTGAATCTTTCCTTGTGGATAAACTTTAAATTACTTATCACACCAAACAGACAGAACTAATAAAAGTTTGAAAAGATTATATCAAACACATACAGATTGAGTTACATAACACTAGGTGCTCTTTGTTGCCAAAATATTATTACAACAAATAAAAGGAGCATTTCTGACGATTACAAAAATTAAGTCAGCATAAAAAGTCCCACTGTTGTGAGTCCTGGACCAAAAGTATCAACCAGTATTTAGAGAGGTGTTGGGGCATCTCTTAGATTAGACTGACTATAGAGATTATATACCTTGCCAAAACAAGTTCTGAAATTTGGAAATCAGTGCCTGTAAACTGTCACACTTTCACCATGTGAACAAAATATGAGATAAAAAAACACTACCCTTAATCCAATGATCCACGCTTTACACGATGTAACATAAGGGTGAGAAAGAAGACTGATGCCAGTTTGAGTCTCTAAAAAAGCCGAGGAAAAATCTCAGTTCAAAACCCACCCTTCTGTATAGAAAGCACATTTAGTCAGTTAATGGTTGAAACCTTAAAAGATTAAATTCTGAAATATTTGTCAAATTAATTCTGCTAAGGCTCATCACAATGCGATAGATCTCAATGTGCCGTACCCAGTGACTCCTTTATAAATGTCGGCAATATACCACTGAGGTCAAACACTTTCAGGCCAAACTGAGCCACTGTCATTCAGCTTACTTTGCCACTGCCTCTAAGGAAGCTCATAATATATTTAGTGAAACTTCAAGAGAATTAAAACAAATGGTGTTGTCAAGGCAGTGTGAAAAAAATGTTCTCTTACTGGGAACCGCAATCATAAATCTTTGTGATCTTATGCTGAAGATTCACTTCCACTTTTTTTATGCAGCAGAAATGTTTCAAAATGCACAAGGAGCTGTTATCACTTCTGGAGATGCATAGATAGCAGGGTGAAAATTGCTTCCAGTACAATCAGAGTTATTGTTTGCCATTCTCACTGCAGCACTTTAGATGCCAAAAGCCAGAGGTTCTGAAGTGCTTCTACTGAAAAGTGATACAGCATAAATCACGGTGAAGTAAAATGCACATCAAATACAGTAAGTTAAAGTTCGATGCCAGCCAAGTGCCTAACATGAAAAATACATATGAATATGCATCTTTATATGTAAAAAAGAAGGAATTAAACTGAACAATGCATTTTCAGAATTCTTATATATATATTGCTCCCACTGTAAATTTCAATTCTTAGCCACTATTTTATAAATTAAGAGCAGCACAAAGCCTCACAAAAGTCTAGTTACATTTTAAAAAAAAGTAATGATGTGCAGCATTAACACAGTTTAATATAGATTGTAATTATCTTTCCCCAATATAAAGCTACTAACCAGATTCCTAACATGATTTCTCTCCTTGACATGTAGGAGCTTTGAGAAGCTGCAGTGCTGCCAAGGTGAAGGAGGGTTTGTCTTAATATTAAGCTGCAGATGTCTGGTCTCTTTTTACTTCTGCCACATAAAAATGATTTTTAGTCTCACCGGTCTTAAATGGATACAAAATCTGGTGCTTCTGCTGTTAGGCAACCATCTATACAGACTGGATGTCATAGTAAAAAGAAAATGACCACAAATAGCATAAACAAACATTCAGTAAACGATCTAGCATTTTCTTTTTCCTATGGTATTGAGGATGAAATGGAGTAAACATTTTCTCCCTTAATTAATTGAGTGCTACCTTACCTGATTCAGAAAACAGGATTTTATCAGACATAAATTAATTTATTTACACAACCTTTTGCACATATTAAATGCTAAATTATAATTAAGCCTACTCATTTGTTTAATATAACTATGATAAATCCCTGTAGCTCTGTAGTTCATTTTCTTAAATAGTTAGCCACTTCTTGGGTTCACACAAAAATCGGTCACATCATGTTTTGTATTAACGCTACATTATGACTGTTTACTTACAAATGGATTACAACACAA